TTAGCTGGCATGGTATGTTTCCGGCTGCAAGCCTATGCTTCAAGTTCATTCAAATATATTATTTTAATAAAAGTAACCAACAGTTTTAGTTTTACTAAAGTACCTGCCTATTGATATACATATTTCCCCAGTGAATTGTGCTCGCTTCACCGGAAAAGGAATATTTTGTGTTTACGGCAAAAGCAGGAGACACCAAACAATGCCTAAAACACTACACGGTCATGAGAAGGTATACCGCAGTCATGAGTATTTACTAGTTCACAACAATAAGCCAGTGTCACAGACCACGCTGTGCTCGAGAAGTTTCGCAACTGCTGCGACCCTGACAGAATAGCCGGCGCGACCCTGACAGATTCAGACCTCCGAGGTCGGCAGCACCGACCGTCTCCATGTGGCACCAATAAACCAACGAAATGATACCAAAGCGAAAGGTCAGCTTCCCACGGTTAATTATGAACAGCATAAGCATAGAATGAGGGCCCAGGATCCCACAGTAAATGAACTTCGGACAAATGCCCACATTTAAGTGCTTAAAGTAACGTCGAATGCTGAAAGGTGGGCAAATATACATGATGTTCATGGCCTGAATTCAAAAGCATTCGTTACATATATAACAATTAATAACAAAGCAGCTTAGAGACGAGTCAAAACAATCTACTAAGTAGAATAGCAGTTTTGCACCGCACCGCGTGTCCGTCCACAGCTGCGTCAAAAAGTCGAGACTAATCGGCGAGTCACACGTAGCATGTCCAAGAAGAAGGTTAAACAAACATTACCCGTCGTGTACTGAAGACCTCAAAGCAGATTACTCTCGTATGTCCGCAATGTACCAACCAGAACCAACTGCGCATTTTATCTGCATTGTTACATGGCGTCTGATAACATTCCGATCCCCACCCGGAGTGAGCACGAGGGCACCCATTCCGCCGTGTCTTTGTCTTCCCCTCCCTCCCTTCCGAGCACTGCACTGGACAGCCGCCAGGCGGCACCACTGGAGACCTTGGCCCATTCACCCGGCTGCCGAAATGGGTGTACCGCGCGGACCGCCACCGTTGGGCCACTGTCGGGCGCATCTGGAGTTACCCCGTTCAGCAATGAGAGAGCGATCAGAGACGGCCGGCGACGCGCCTGGTTGGACCGCTGATCCGACTGGAGAGAGCCTGGGCCTGAGACAATGAGACATTGCTGGGACGGGGCCTTTAGGGGGTTCGTCTCCCACCTCCGTCCCTGTCTGACCGTGCAACAGCCCCCGCCCGCGGCCGGCGGTCACTTGGCCGCCTCGTGAAACAGCAGTAGCGTCGCACCTGATCGACTCGAACCGCGACTGTACGGAGGTCGATAAAATACTCGGCCAAGAGGATTACATAAACCGTATCAATGTAGATGTCTAGAAAAATACGACACATGATTACGATTGATAAAATACGTGGAGCGCGATAACAACACGATGTTGCCTCAGATTCAGGGTTCTGAAGTGATTTCCCTCTACATTTCAACACGGTTTCCATCAATCGTGGGTGGATAACTACCATTACCCCTTACCCAGCCCACAGATGGGTAATCGTTAGGTGTGCATTTAAGCTGCACATCGATAGAGTTTAACACTATGAGAGCGAATGCTTTTAAAAAGGCACATTACGAAAGATAAAATATACGCTTAGAATTATATAAATCGCAGAACGTCTTGATCACAAAGACTCCGTTGAGAGCCCACGTGGATAGTCACCCGATAAAACTGGCAGCTCTTTGGCCGGGCCAAACTGGTAGCTCTGCTGCCTGAATGCCAATCAGGGTAGCTGTGAGCGGTTCACAAGCGATACCCAAGCCAAGAGGGTGTTACGTAAAACACAAGTGCCAGCAGACCAAACTTCCTACCGGTAGCCAGCAGCCTCGGTATGCACAAAATATCATGCACCGATCTCGCCAGATGCTTTCGGATGGTGGAAGATCTGGGTCTGGGTATGTGCATCTACTGCCTATACTCAAATAATCGCGATATCATGCGTCTTAAAAAATACATAAATCAAGCATAAAACGACGTGATTTGTTTTCATCAAGCCACTGAAATCATAAATGGGTAGGTAAACAACAGGGATTGATAAGGTTAACTGACAGATCCTGCCACACCTTGTCTAAATTTGAACACCCGTCATCCCCCACCCCTTTCCGCACCTCAACCTGCCCTTCCCCGGCGGAAACGCGCGCGACAACAGTCCCAACCAATCGGTCCCCGCCGCGACCCTGCCTTCCAGACCCTCCCGAGCGGGCACAATGCCCTCTCCCCTCCCCTCCCCGACAGTGCCACATGCCAGCGCCATGTGAGCCTCCCTCCCCTCCCCTCCCCTCCCTGCCGGCAGGAGCGCCCCCGCTGAGCGGCCGACCGACCGGTGTACGCAGTCGCAGACTCCACCTAACCGGTCCGCCCCACTCAGATTGATGGTGTGAGGTGAGGGTGAGGGGTGACCCTTCACCGAGCCGAGTGGACGCCACCCAATACCCAACTCCGGTCACCCGAGGAATGCGCCAGACAACGGGACAGACCGCAGACAAAGAATATTCCAGCTCTGCCGCTCATCGAGATAAAAAAATCAAACAAAAAGATGAAAGAGGAAGTAACAAAAAATGTAAAATGTGGTTGGATGCCTTCACATCCAACCAGATAGTTTTGAGTGTTGAACATGTGGAAGTGATTTCATTAGTGACGAAACTGTGAAAATAGTCGGACATGTGATTGGCAGGCCGAGGCACACCTTCGTTCAGCTAGCACGCGGTGGGCAGAGGGCGCTGAGTCAACGCCGCCTATTCTGAGAAGAGGCGCACCCAGGTCCACCAGTAGGGGGGGGGGGGGACCAATCGCACGGATCTTATAAGGCACTTGTGGGGCGTGGTTTACGTCATCAGCGCTCAACACGGCAAAACGCTAATCGTATGTGCTAGGCTAATTTAGCATTGCAATGCATTTCAGCTTCAGTCTACAGTAGCTCTCCTCAGAATTCAGCAGTTCGTTCCATCTCAGGCACCCTTCAGCGACCTACAGTGGGCACGGGGGGGGGGGGCATTCCACTTCCCCGACAAACAGAGAGCCTTTCAGCGCAACGCGCTGACAAAACGAAAATCAACATGGCGTGGTCGACCTCGCGACGCCGTGATCAGCGACACGCTACCAAGCCGGTCGAGGGGTCAACTCGGGTCAGGTCAGGTCAGGTCAGGTCAGGTCAGCCGTGATGTGTGATAACAAAGTGACGCAGGGGCACATAGCCCCCACATGATATCCGAGGTAAATCAGCTCCCGTAATCCGCTTTGTGTCGTGTACCATTTCCGTCGGCGTGTATACAGCTGTTGTAGCAGTTGGTTGGTTGCGTCGACCGGCGCGGCGCCCGCCCGGGCGGCGTTTCACTCCTCGCTTGCGTGCCGCGGCACAGTTTAGATGGGAAATACACAAGCGTCCGGCGGTTCATGGGAAACGGACAACCCGAGCTCGGGGATGACCGTGAAGTACAACTTTCTGCGCTTCAGAAGAGTCAAGGGCTTAGTAAAGGCGCAACGCTAAATCAAAACCCCGCAGAATCGGACAAAGCAGCGTAGCGGGTCGTCCGCCATTACCACAGTAACACACCCCACCACCGGGCACTAAGTGTCATGTAGCGAACATATCGTCGCTATGTAACATAGCGACGATCATTTCGACACAAATGAACTCTGTGTTGTAGAAGATAAATTCAATTTTCACATTTGACATAATTATATAAATCTTAGCGTCAGGAGCCTGATAATCATCCTTCACGGACTTGGGGTAGCCTAACATTCTTGTTATGCTTGAACAAGTGAACGACCCAGGTCTGCGAAAACAAAGCGCCAACTTTCGTCCAGCCGGTATTCGACGGATTACGGACAAAGAAAATAATTTAATCAAACAATCTTTTTAGCGTCAACAAGCCTAAAAACGGCTGGTAAAAATATCAAAAGTTTATGCACCAACAAGCGCCGCGTCTCCATAATATCGGTGTTTGCACGGTCGCTAACTTAACAGCCTGCCAAACCTCTCTGTGTGCAGCGCAGCAGATATGACCCCGGGCGGTCTCGAGAGGGGAAGAGAGCATGAATGACCGATGCAGGTCTGCCGGGTCTGCCGGCGGGCCGGGTCATTACGTCGCTGTGATTAATTCCATTCGCATCATCCATTTTTTGTTATAAATAGATAAACAATCCTTATCTCCGCCTGAGATCTTTGATAAGCGGCGTGGACAATACCCGCCCACGCTAAAACACTCGGCGAGGCTATCGATTTCTGCGTCGCAGCGGTCATCACAACCACTATTGAGATCGGTCCCAAACACAGCCACTTTAGACAATGACCCGTGGGGCCGGCTGATCAGATCGTCCATCAGCGTGCATAGCAACAGGGAAGACGCCGCGCCCTACCCATCGGGGCTCGTTTCGGCCGGGGCCGGGGTCGCCGGCGAATCCCTATCCGTCCAAGTGTCCGATTATAGAGCCGTTCCGGGCCGGGGCGGGCGCGTATGCACAGCGTCCGCATGAACGTCAGCCTTGATCGCCGACCCAAGGCCAGGCGCGGTCGGCCGAGCGGGCGGCCGGGCGGGCTCCACTGCACCGTGCAGGACGGACGGGTGGAGGGGAGGGGGAGGGGAGGGGCGCCCCGTGACGTTCCCCTCCGCCGAGACAGAGACCACGCGCGCCCGGGGGCGGAGATCGATAGCAATGGGAAACGGCGGAGGCCCTCCGGCGAGCAGAAAAGCAAATGCAGCAGTAAATGGATGACAATGCCATTATTAAATGAATAGCGTATCAATGAATAGGTAAAATAATTGTAAAATTATAATATTTATAAATAAACTTATAAGTGACCTTTTATATAAAAGATGAAAATAATTAATGATGCCCAAATAAGAAACAATAAAAAAACTCCCCGAATGCGGCCTGTGCTGCAGTGCTGTGTGACCCGGGTCAGCCGGGGTGCCCTCGGCGGGCGACCGCTCACCTCGCCGTGCGACTCGAGGCGACCTTCGGGCGTGTGCTCCGGCAGCAGGTAGAGGCGCACGCAGGCCAGCAGGTCGCCGTCGCTGCTGTCCTGGTACAGCAGCTGCAGCTCGCAGATGCACACCACCTCTTCGTCCCGCCACGGCTTCACAAAGAAAAACTCGCCCAGCGCCAGCACGTGGCGCCGGCCGCCGCTGACGAAGCTGAACGCCTTGTGGAAGACGTAGGAGCCGTGCTGGCCGCAGGGCGAGCCCACCACCTGCCGACGACATCGCAGCAGGTCAGACAGGTCATGGTCAGGTGGGGACTGGGGTCATCACAGGATTTATTTTAACAGAAATTATTTGCCAAATAAAATAATTTTCGATTGAGTGTTCCCCTGCAAGAAAACTAACTATCTTCAAAATCTGTCCTATTCATTGTTGCTCCGAAAATGAACGCAACGAACTGAACATACAAAGGAAACTAAAAAGAAGATAAATAAATAATAAAACATATCGGGCAATCGAGGTTACGTCCCATGGAAGCCACAAGCCGTGGTCTCTTTAATTTCGATAAATATTTAACATTCTCATAACAAGTCTTAACATCACATAATATTCGTGTTCAAATTTATGTAGCTTTTTTGTTAGACATACGCCGATGAAATGGTACGGAACATACGGGGCATTCCACGTCAAATCGAACAAAAATCGGCTGTTTTGCACCTTACCATCAGCGATTTCATTATAAATTTGTGAGCGAGTTCCTGTGTGGCCCCGGACATTACATTGATGTTTTTTGCACATTCTGACCACAGGTCTTCTAAATATAGGGCATCAAATTTTTGCAAAATGTTGCACCTTTATATTTTTGAACGACCATAACTTTGGTTGTACCTGTTTGATTTGAATGAAATAAACCTTACTGTTTAGGTAATTTCTTAAGCATTTGTTTATAATTGCACCTACTTAAATATATGACCTTGAAATTTGCTTAACTCTGTTCTTAAGCACAAATATTGAAATAGCAAAAAACACGTCACCTTCGATTTGGCTCATTTTCATATATTTTATTGCCTACCATATTCTTAACAACCTGTGAAAAAATTAGAGTGGGCCATTCATAAGTTTTGAAGAAAATTGCACATACGCAAACGTATGTTAGCACGCGCAGTGGAGGGGGAAGAACGAATTTCGCCCACCCCTCCTGTTTTTCGCCAATATCTCATAAAGATTAATTCGAAATTAATTATGGCTACCTGTCAAGAATTGAATTGGACATCTCATCGTGCAAGCAATAAGAAAATCGGTTCACAACTGTTCTAGTAATAGCGGTGTAAAGTGAACATCCTGTCGCCGCAGCAACGCGGCGACTCGGCAGCCGGCGCCGACCGCTACGCGCCGCCTGAATTGTAGACTGTGCCGGGACGGAACTGAACGGTTCCGTCTTTACATCGCGCTCCCTACTGCTGATTACGTTTGATTCGCGTCAAATTTTGTGAGAAGACAATCTTATGGTCAGGCAATGTACAGGCAATCTTATGGTCAAAGAATTTTGAAAATCGTTTGGTAAACAATTGAAATATGAACGTGTAAACACAAAATTGTGATTGCTGCGTTTCCCGCATCGGCCGAGCCCGCCTCAGCCGGCGACATGTTACACTTAGCAGGCCTCTAACTGCCATATTTATTATTGGATTAACTAGAAATTCCCCATACATACTAAAAAATGCATGTTCTTTCGTATAATGAAGATCAAAAGACGTGAAGATATCGTTACGTGATAATGTTTTCGTTGAATTTACTTCATGATGCATTTCCACACGGCTCAAAATTCACCGCAAAATACCGTTTGCCTGAGACACTTTTACTATGGAACGTGAATGCTTGACTACGATGACTATGCATTTCCATTCTCGCAGAGTTTGGGATATCACTAATCAGCAATCATTCATTTCAGAAAGTGTACACAAGCAAGCATGTCTTGACTGTCTTTCAAGGTCACGCGCGGTTGCGTGATGTTGATGCATGAAAACGGCGTTTGCCGCGAAAGTTATGAATGGCCCACTCCAATTTTTTCACAGATGGTTAGGAACATTGTGACGGACATAATATGTAAAAATTACCCAAATCGAAGGTGACGTGTTTTTTGCTATTTAAATTTTTCTGTTTTAGTTCAAGGTCAAATGCATTTCAAGGTCACTTCAATTTAATTTTATAATTAAAAATCAAAGCCTTATCAATTGCCTATAAGACCCTGTTAATATCATTTTGATACCAGAAAAGGAGCCAGAGTTATAGCCACTTAAAAAATTGATGTGTGGCATTTTTCGCTATATTCGATGACCTATATCTCAGCGATACGTTATCAAATTTCGAAAATATTATACGTAACTCAGTTTTGAACCATGCCCAGTCTGCCTACAAATTTTCAGAAAAATCGAAGGGGATGACGGATTTCGGTGTTTGATTTGACGTGGAATGCCCCATACGACTAAACAGAAATTGGACACGCTTTATTTCACCCGAGTACCTACTACAGATACTGAAATGCTAATTCGCGAATGCACATTGAGCATAGTCCAGAAACGAGCGTGCACGATCGAGAAGTCCATCACGTGACTAGAAACCGGTTTTAGGGTGGCGACGTCGCGATACCGACGGCCAACTGCCGCGCTGAAGGTTTTCCTCAGGCACAGTGAAACCGTGCACACCATTTGGGCGTAAGAGCGATGACTAAGTATGCAAGTAGCAATGACTAAAAAAGGGGTAAAGCGACCAGGCATTCGAATTCACTCTCTCGCTCTCTCCAAAAAAATGGACGAGTATTTGATCATCGGTAAAAGTATACGAGGTAATATTATAATAATATTACCTCGTAATATTATTACGAGGTAATTATTACTTATTTCACCCAAACAAGTAGGTAGTTGGAACGTGGACAAGTAGAAAATTCTAGAGAGAAGCGACTACGGAAAATAATTTGGTCGACTTTCATATTGTCATTAAAACGCAGGTGACTTATTCACTTAAAAGTGAATTTTTTATACTCATATTCCAAAAAAAAGATCGAATCCTGCTTTTTATAACTTTTCATCATTCATGTGTGCCTATTTTGAACATAATTTATCTCGGGAAACTCAGAAATACCCACTTTGGAGTTTGGTAGAATAAAGAGAAACTTCACGAATACCTGATGGATAAATGACTGCACTGAATCATTACGGTAAATAAGTGGCAAACAAAGCCACAGAAATACACTCCCACAAAAAAAAAAATACCCAGCCTGTATATGTCGGAAACATGCGACTGGAAAGGAATCCTCCCTGACGGTGTACGTACGCAGTACGACAACTAATTTCGTGCAGAAAAAAAAGTGAAAACTCTTACCGATCAGTCAGATATTACCATGTCCCGACTCCCTATTCATAGTTCCTCACTCCCACTCCGCCCCCCCCCCCCTCCCCACACACACACACCTTGCGGGTAATAGGGCTCGGCTCGGCTCGGAAATGCTCATTTTCCGACTCCCTCCGTTCAATTTTTTTTCGTCCACTGGCGGATGCAAGGGGTTATGGGGTCATAACACCTGAGGCAAATGTCCCCCTCGCAACGCCCGAAATCGGCGAGAATTTGTCGTTTTTTAACCGAAACTTTTTCTTAACCCATTTACGCCCTTCGTTGCGTTTTCGCAACACAAGCAAGCGTCGACGTGATCAAATCTTGAGAAGTGTATAATGGCGTCTCACCGATGAGACAAGTTTCAGCGCGTTTAGCATGGATCCGCGCATGATGCTACGCAGTTACAAGTCTGTGCGGCCGGTAACTTACCGTCCAGAGCTCCCAGAGGGAAGTCGAAGGTCCCGTCAGTGATAACGTCACGAAAACCAAAATAAGTAGATTAAGTGATTAATTATATCGTAATGAATAATGTGTGAACATATTCTGCAGAGACCCTACAATAGCTAGAATATACATTTTATTAACAAATTATGCTGCAAATAGGGTTTGTGACTATTTTCAAATATGACTACAGTCGTGTTGCGGTAACGCAACGTTGGGCACATCGGAAAGACAAGGATGTTGCGAAAACGCAACGAGGGGCAAATTGGCAGGGCAGCGGAAGTACCTATAGGAACATCAAATAGACTTCACTTGAGATACGTTGTGGGTTCTTTCCTTCTCTCCCCAATCTTACTCCCTCTCTTCCACGCTCCCCCAACTCTCTCTCCTTCCCCCCCTCTCTCTCTCTCTCTCTCTTTCTCGTTTTGTAGTCGTGAGGGACGTGTAGGTATGTAGGGGAGAGTGGGGCACATTCGTGCATGGGGCACATTCGTTTTCAGCAGTTTATGGGAGCACGAGTGACTGCACGAGCTCAAGGTAAATTATGGAAATATGTCTATCATTGCCGCCCTTCGTTCACCGTAGAAGACAACACTGTACCTGCTGTCATGCTTGATAAAAACGCAAATTTGTAATATTCGTGAGCTTTCCAAACTTTTCTCATATCATCCATTTTCGTGATCCTGACTCGGAAATGTGGTTCAGCTTTTCAAAATTGGGGGTGAGGAAGCCCACTCTATTCACGGAACTGCTGCAAACTTGTTTGTTGAAAAAGTGTCATTTTTTCAAAAAGAAATTTTGAAATATATTACTAATAACGTTATGGGGCAGGTTCGTGTACGCACTGCCTGGGGGCACATTCGGGCATATTTTTTTTAGTTTTTGCGATTTATGATTTTATCTGTAGTAGGTTTCTCTAATGACGCTCGCCTGACTCAGTCTCGACTGCTTGCAACGTCGTGACGAGCAATTCACGCGAACTTGGCGAGGTCACGGAGGCCGGCAGTTGGCACATTCTTGTTGGCCAGCCCATGCTTTCTACATTTATTGTGCAATGCATTCTTGTCGAAAGGAATCAAGTGAAATGACCCCCTGCCAATTTCCTTTTGTAAATTTCTGGTAATGCCCGGTAATTTCTCGAATTTTGCCGGGTGAACGGAAGTGCCCCATCTCTTGAACGAATGTGCCCCATAGGTGGGGCAGTTTCGTGCAAATGTTCAGAGTTAATAAAAGTCATTTTTTCTAATGGAAGCAATAATTTTATAGGATAACTTTTAAAGAGGAAAACTATCTGCAATAGTTCCTTTCCATACTACAATCAACAATTTTGCCATTGCACTAACCAAAGAACAGATATATGGGTTTATCCATTTTTTGCACGAATGTGCCCCACTCTCCCCTAAAGTGCATTGCGCGTGAATGTTGCGACACGTTTCACATTAACTCACTTAAAGGTAGTGTGCCACCTTTGAAAGATTTCCTATTTTATTTTTCCTAGGATAAGAAGCTTCTGTTTTTACCTAATATCGCAAAAAAAATCAAAAATGGGCCTGGAATAGTGCCTTTTTCGCCTAAAAGTTTTTCGGTTTTTAGATATGTATAACAACTGTAGTGGGCTCACCTGCAAACAGGCGTCGGGCAACAATCGCGAATGCGGCGCACTTGTGACAATAAGCAAAGGTCATTATAGTGTTACGACCATACGACGTACGGGAATGAGTTATCAGCTGTCTAATCGTAGACAACACAATGTCGAGCCTTAAACTGTAAGCCCGTATTGGTATTGTTTCTTTTATTTGGCTGTCGAACATTATTTATGGTTTGAAATATGATTTTATGTAAAATAATTGATATGAAAAAGCCGTCTTATAAGTTATTACCCCATTTCACCACACGCAAGTGGCAGAAATGACAATGATCAGCTGACGCATTTTTCTTGGCCGAAGTCAGAGCGCGCGGCCCGACGCACCACGCGTATTTGGAAATTCCGACCTCGACGAGCATCAGAAGCCACCTAACAGGCGTGTTCGAAACCGCAGGAGATGATGATGAACGGGTTTATCGAAACTTGATTGGATGAGCATATCGGTAATAGCGATTTCAGTGTGTGCATTTATTGTTCATAGTGGTGTGAAATGTGGTTGGGGTACGACCGACAACCCGTCGGGGCGAATTTCGCACTGGGGTACTCAAAATTTGAAGAATTTAAGACGTTTCCATGAGTTTTGAAGGTATGGATAAGTTCTAAAAATCCGGTTCTCCTTATCTGGGCCATTAACTCCATACGGTCCAAGAAAGCTGGCACACTACCTTTAAACAGCTATCAAACACTCATTTCTTTTTCTCGCAGATTATAATCGGGCTATTCGAGCAATGGGTTTTCGAGCATCTGAAAATCGCATGGTAGGAAAAGGACCTGCATCAAACGGTCGGCGATGCTAACGGAGCAGAGAGATAGCGAGGTACTTTGAAAATTGGATCTACTTTGTACTAAATAATGGGGACGTAGTCTGGTATCAGACGACAGATAGGCATTGTCATTCTCTGGATGCAATCCGCTGGCCCTTACGTTGGAAAATATAACTCCCAGAAGCGGCAAATGTGGGATATGCCCCCTCGGGGGGGGGGGCAACAGACCCCTTCGGCAGGAGTGATGAGGGCGTCTGGAAAATAATAGTTTATTTTTAGAATTCATGGTTTGCACGGATTGATAAGGTTGTGAAGCATTGCTTGTTTGTTTATTGAGGGTAGGCCTTTGTCTAATCAGACCATTTTAGAGCTAGAAGCATTATTGGAATTAGGGAAAACATTGGTTTGAGCGGGCATGGTGGATCGTCGAGGCTGAGCCCATCCATCCAGGCCACCCATGAACCAGCCCCCCCCCCTTCCCAAGCACTTTCTGTATCCGGCTACAGACCTGTGCTCCTATGGGAGCTGCTCGAATGTGATATACCTAGTTGCCCGTCCAGCTCGAAACAAAGGTTGAGGCATGGAGAAGGATTCTACTATCCTTAAGATGGAAAGGACGGATTGACGAAACACTGGGAAAGTGTGAGCTGCGTCGAATCACCAGTCTGCCCTGGCATTGTCTCGAGAAAGAGGTTACAAGTGTGAAGGTCGCTGAGAGTGGGACAATGAAAATTTTGAATTAGGTGTAAAAGTGATAAAATGGGTCCTGGGAGACACTTTAAGCCGAGTTGTTATGACGCTCTACGCCTTACGCAGGTAATTTGTGAAAGCCGGATAGGTTCATTTTTTTATGAGAGTGTGCACGACTACCCTGCATTTGAATTTGTCTTTACTCCTAGGAGGGTGGTTAACAATGGTATTGCGGATAGGCGCTTAGGCGAGGCACTGGTTGACTCCCAATCCTCGGTTAAATTGTTTTCAGTTTGGGGTTCTCATATGAGAGGGTAATGGGCTAATGGCTCTGTCTAACTTCCAAAAAGAAAGCACCGCCCAGGGTACGTGCCGACCACTAGGTACTTTAAATGGACAATTGTTGTTGATAATGACCGTTTGTTGCCATCTCCCCGTTCGCGAACCCTTAAGTTATGCTCCCTCATTGAGGCTCTTAGGCGGGTAATAAAGTATGAGGGATGTGGGTACCGCATTCTCAAGCAATATTTTTCAACAGTTGGTGAAATATATGTTAAAACAAACTAGCATATACGGCGGTTTAGTGTACTTTATGTCCGTCTGATGTGCCCGTCGTTGCGTTTTCGCAACGCTGATGGCGCCCGGTGTGCCCTTCGTTGCGATTTCGCAACGCACGTTTTTTACGTTTTTCTCGAAAAACTTTTGCTGCCGGCAAAAATTATTTTCGATTCCATGCAAGGCCCTGGTAGAAGCGTAACATATCTTGATTTCATCGATTTTCATGATGGTCAATATTCCTGGGCATAAATGGGTTAAATCGAACACAGTCAGTACCTACTAGTTTTATAGTTTTTTTTTATTTGGAGAAACTTTCTTTGAGGCATGCCCTGGCCTCTAGCGTCAGATACGACGTTTCAGGATAAGCCTGTTCAGTGCTCATCCATTATCCCATCGCGTAAACAGCAAGGCCCTATAGTAGGTACCTACCTAAACAGGATCGATACCTAAGCAAGGGCAGTCATATAAAATAAGTTTGAAATTATCGGAAAGCATTCATTACAGATAAATGCTCCCAAACATCAGCGATAAAGAAAATATTTGGAAACGTAAAGAACTAAGAAGGAAAAAAGGCAATTTGATCAGGTAGGAGGGCAATTAAAAATTTTGGCCATTTCCATTCTATCGAAATTCGAAAACATACTATTGAAAAGCTGCCCGCATTGATTTCGTAAAAGCTCGGCAAGCCTCAGCCGACGAATCTCATTCCAAACCTCCGGTATTGATTTGCAATGGTGCCAATGGATACCCGCTAAAAAGACGGGCGCCAACCTAAATAGGAAAAATAAAAAATAAAAATTCTCAATTAAAATTTCGACAAAATGTCGGCCAAAATGTCTGCACTGAGTACCGATTGGAGCACTTTTAGTGCCCTCGTCCTTATAACATTATTACTAATTATAATTATCAAATATTGCATTCAATATGCGGCAAGCCGCTTTATTTAGGTACAAGTATGTACTTCCGGTGCCTCAGGCAGTCCCTGACCCCCACCGCCCGCCCGCGCCCGCCAGGCGGTGCTCCACGCGAAACTCGCCCGTGCCCGTCCTCGACCAACGAAACTCCCGCGGTGACAGCCCCGAGAGCTTCCCGTGGCGGAATCTCACCGACGAAGCCTTGAAAATAAACGAAACCTACTCAGACAGACGCAGAATCATTAAATTCATACCACAGCACAGAACTTACCTCAACGCAGTCCTTTGACATCGTGAAATCACGTAATTCACGGCAGCGCACTCACATCACCCCACCACACGCGAACACTCACTCGGGTTCTATTTACTGTAATTACATGACGTCACCAGTTGATAAGTAGTTACTACTTCGTACAAGAGAGGGGGTTACTAGCCATAGTGAAGGACAAAGTACGATGCGCTTGTAAAAGTACTTGTAACCAATTCCGGAGTAGAGCAGCGGCTTTATCAATCTCCGAACCCATAGCTGCCTGTATCGTGTCAGACATTGTGATATTTATTCACTCTCGATGACAACACAAAAACAAATATTCTAAATAGCCAGACGTTTCGGCCTCAGGGTGCCTTCGACAGTGACATTTGTTTTTGTGTTGTCATCGAGAGTAAATAAATATCACCATAGCTGCTTTTCGCACTTGAATGCGTGGCTGCATTCAAGGCTGCATTGGCATATTTTTTATCAGTAGCAACGATACAAATGAAGTTCATTGTTTTCAGAAGGTAAAAAATATGATCTAAGGTAGAATGACCAAAATCAAAACTTATTTTGTTTATATAGAATGTAGATTACCTTTTGGTACAATCGTCAAATAATAAGGAAAAATACGTTTGTCATTTTCATGATAACAACATTGAAAGGATAGCTGCAACTCATTTGCTCCCTTGATGTCTTATATCTCTTTTTCTTTATTTAATTTTCAGTTTTGAAAAGACTCAAAAATACTTGTCATGTGATTCAGGAAGTACTGCAACGGGCCAGCAAGTACTAGGCTGATGAGATGGATTGAGATGGATATTCCATCTCTATTGTTGTTGGTCTGCGACATGTCGTGATAAACATGTGGGATGCTGATGCGGTGTTTGTTGGTATTTTTTATTATTATCGGTTGTCGGTAAGTCGTGTATCTTTATAAATGTATGTTTTGTATAACGTTACAGTGATTTGCCTTATTTTTGTTGAGCTTTAGCTTAGGTATTTAATATTTTGATTTATTGATGGATCTGGATTCACTGGATTCAGTTGGTGACATACCAGGGAAATAAGCTAAAATTAGAGCGCTCTATTTATTGCTCCTGCCCCATGTTGAAGAGATACCCCTAAAAGCGTGATCTTTTATCGGCCCTTACGCAGCAAGGCAGTAATTCTCAGACCGGTGGATGGTATCAATAGAAAGAGAATGCGTCAAAGATTAACATGAATTAATTAAAATAACATTAAAATGTTAATTAAGCGTGGAAATTAGTCTCAAACATAAGCTAATTGTTGCTCCTACCTCGGCGACGGCGCTCCCCGCAGTCGGCGGAGAAGCTAAAATAATAGCCACCATCCTCCTCCGTAAGTCAATTTTAGAGCGGCCGAGTGGGCCACCAAACTGAGATGAGACGTGGCTAGCAATTGCGAACTGCCATAGAAATCAATATCTTAAGACGTACAATACCTATGGGATAATTACTCTGAAGCTGGAGTGAAAGCATGAGTAGATTGCAAGAAACGAAATGCATAGATTGGTTGAATTATGTACAATAGGCACAGCTCAGATGAAGCCATTTCTTTGATGTTGACATTTGACATAACCCTTCCTCTCCTCACCTACGACCTAAGTACGTTGGCAGTTACCGGCATAGTTTTTTAGCACGAGTGTAATTCGCCATCGGACCGCAATGCATGTTGCTAGGCTGCTGCAATTACAACGAACATACGAATACTGCCTTCATTTGTAGACGCTTGTTTTTTAGGCGGTCTTTGACGTACAAGGGGGCATACCTGTCGACAACTTGAGTTTCTCCGAATTTCAAAAACTCCCAGAATTCCAATTCCTTATGCACTGTTGTAGGTACAGCTATGTTCACAAGTTTTCGTTTCCTCCTGCTCTAAAAAGGATGATATTTGTCGATTTCGTGCGTCGCTGATAGAAGGGTGCGTTTAATAATTAGGCCCAACGCTTTCTGCATCCGCGAGTACCTTGAAAAGGGAACAACAGTTTCCATTTATTACACTATGGGACAAGTGACAAAATGACCAATGCAACACGCATGAAACGGAGCTCATATTCCTAAAAATGTCTACAATCACTTCTTTTCTGACACTATTAGCAAATACCATCTCAAGTTAGGTGGTTGACAGACAGTCAATGGAGATCTGGGGAGACTGAGTGATGCCAATTCACCACTTAACTGATAATGAGGGCCGAGGGAAGAGAAACATGCAACATGCACAACTGACAACTTGACAAGTGACAAAACACTACCACTATTGCGCAGTGCACAACAAATTACAGCAGCCAGCCCAAAAATGCTTTTGGTGGCAAATTGCAAAACAAGTCACTAATAAATGTCTTAGTTGCAGCTGAACACTGCACAATGATCACACTGTTCACACATTGAGTGAGATGCCACAGGTGGTTTGAATCACACTTTGGTACAACTGCAAATCTGAAGTGTTGTCATGAGGTTCATGCCTCCATGATCACAGCACTTTGGTTGTGGTTGGCATAACACTTGTAGTCTGCAGAGTTCCACATGAACTGCAGACACCTCATCTGGTGGTCTTCATGTTGCTCAACTTCTTCAGGAGGCAAATGTCGACCACCCAGCGGAAGCATGGTCCTGCAGAAAAGAAAGGTAACGCATAAGGTACAAACATTATCTGCTGAAACAGCCCCTTCTGTTTGCTGTTATTAAACTTTTAACACAACATAACAACATGTATTCCATGTATATTACATTTGTTGAAGTAAAATATTTCAAAACCAGAAAATGAAATTATATTGTGGCATAATTCACATGCTCAGCTATCAGTATCAAATAATAAATTAAGTTAAAATTTGGCATATTCTATATAACACATTCATAGAATATTCTACTTCACGTCACAAGGACTCACAATCTTTCGGTTGGGTGTTTGATTGACGCATTAACTAGGTTTGTCTTAGGCTTTATTATTGCAAAAAATTCATATTGCATTATTGTATCAAAATACTGCCAGCAATAACAAAACAAGAACATGAAATGTCAATGAGCAAGTCGCCTTTCCTAAAAATGGATTACTTTGAAAAGAATTTGTTTCTTTTAAGGAAAAGGAGAAATAATTATCAGGTACTTATCAGAAAACCACTCAACCAGCAAGTGGCTGGGTGGTTTCACAGCAAACATCAAGCCAAAACATATGCTTACATTTATCTAACAATTGAGCCATTTGACTACACAAGGATATGTGAGCAAAATAAGAATCCAATTATCCAATGTTGACTTCCTTGCAAAGTTTATGCCTTATTTTATGAAAATGTGTCGCTAGAATATGATACTTATCATCGAATATTATTTAATTTACGATTTATTTCGATCGGAACGCACATGGGGTCCCGCGCCATTTTCGTCGACGATGATTTGATCGTGTTTCATGAAGAGATAAGGGGTTTCAATGGTCTTTCAAAGCAATAATTTGATGCAAAAATTTGTAGGAAATAATATAAAGCTGGTTCAAATGGCCATCAACCATTTAAAACACCGAAAATACTCACAACTCCGTCCCGACGACCACGCAGCACCGCGCACGCCACACTACTGGCACAATGCCAAAACTGCTGTCACAGCAGAAATATTTTTTTTTCTCGATTGCAATTGTGGAATTATTTATTAAACAGAAGATGCTCTTTCCGAAAAACCGACTGATTTCATACACAGATGCATGGAAAATAAAAAAATCCCAGTAAGTTTATTTGTATTGTTTTGTCGATTTTGACATGCTCCTAGTTTGCAGCCATATTTCGATATGTTCTACAGGGAGTTCAGAATTATTTCAGGACCAATCTTTTCCTCGTTCATTTTCCCGTCGATCATGAAATTTTTAGAGCGGAACAATTAGTTTCCAGGCGGTCCGAGCGGTTTTCGTGAGATGGGTGCAAAAATCGGCGTCATTTTTAGAGCCTCGACACCAGCTCAACACAGGACCCTATGGGAGACGGTGAAGTAGCGGAAGCAATAAATAGAGCGCTCTAATTTTAGCTTATTTCCCTGGTGTGTCACCGACTGGATTGACCAAACGTTTTCATTCCAATTTGAATTCTGATGGGACAAGGCTAGGTACGAGAAGATGACTTTTCTGGAATGGGGCACAGCGGACGATATTGCCTATTGTAAACATTGTAAGTGTGGCACTCGTATTTTCATATCTCCATCCCTTGATATTCAAGCCATAATATTTCAAATTTAGAAATAAATGCATGAAACACAAGTATCTTTGCTGCACCTCCTATTCCCCCTGAAATTATTAACACAATGGCATTATCACTGAATACCTATTTCATCAGCTAAAATAGAATTGGACCCAACAGTTTTGGAGTGTGTGTAACTGAAATGATGCCCTTGCAAGACCTTATGATGAAACAAATAACATCAAACATGACATACCTACCACATCAACATTGTTGAATGTTGGTGGATTGAGTTTTTTAAATAATGTGTGCCTTTTTAACACTAATCATAAGATATTTTGGATGATATGATTTGCATCTTTGAAGATGCCTGTCAAGTCATCTTCATTCAACAAGCTTGCAGTTTTAGGTCAGACTCCCAATGTTCCACCTTGGTTGAAACAAACCTGTTCCATTTTTGATAGAAGACATGACCATTACACTTTTTTAAACTGTTGAACTAGGACACTTTCCGAAATTGTTAGTTTTTGTATATCTAAGAAAGCATATTTGAATTCACACATGCTTTCATTGAGATTCTCAGTGAAGATTGCCAGAGGCTCACAACTTATAACTTGTGAACCTTTAGCAATGTTGCCAGATACACATGAGCTGCAGTCACATTATGAAGCTATTAGCTATTATTTGCTCCCTTGCCTCTTATCCTACATTCTAGGTAAGAAGGTAAGAATTAGGTAGCAGCCTCTCAAAATGTTGAGGATTGGGCAGATGCTGCTGGCAACGAATGACCCTTTGTCACTTGACATGTAATGACAAAGGTCAATCCAAAGACAGCAGGCTTATTTTCAATAGCAAGCTACTAGGTGGACCACCACATAGGTAGCTGAATACATTGCTCAGTCAGCCTGCAAGAGGTATTCCATCTCACCACACCACCTTGATCAGCAGTCAGTGCCTGAAAGACAAAGATTGCCACCATGCAAATACTTTATTTCCTTGAGGAGGTCCACCTAAATTTGGTGTTACATCGAAAGTACACTATAACAGTTCTGCCCCTCCCCCCCCCCCTAGCGACAGCCACCATCGCATAACACATTGACTAAGTCACAGCTGGGTCGGATGCACATTGCACACGCGCCGGAGTCGCCAGACCGGCGCGACAGCCTCTGTGGGGCGCGGGGCCGAGCGGCCGATCTAGTCGTCCTTCTTGGCCGTCTCAGAGGGTCCCTCCTCCGACTGGGTGCTGGCCAGAGACTCGGCAGAGTCGCGGCTGCCCAGCTGGTCTGTGGAGAACAACAGGGAGGATGTTAGACCATCGGAGCCACTGTAGGCGAGCGCCAAAAAAGTAACTGAATTTAGCGACAATGGCACTAGTCAGAAGTCATGCTTCCTCGGCCGAGATGGGCGCCAAATAACCCTGGCGTTTGTACCTAATTGGCTTATTTATATGGAACTTAAAAATGCGAGATATATCAGCTAATGATAGTTAATCTGTCATACAGAAAGTGATAAGAAAACTGAACAAGTTATGCTGTAGCCTAGGTCCAGACAGTGATTAACCGTTAGCGCCGGTTTCGGTTCCCAATCACCCCACCTTTTGTCCGGCCGCGGTCACCGGCGTCGGCTGCTGACAGGGAGACGGCGCGGCTGCGGCTCTTGTGCGTCCACACGTGCTTGTCGAGCCTGGTGAAGCGGTACTTGAGCTTCCAGTCCTCCTTGATCTTCTGCCGGATCACCAGCGACGTGGTGATGGTGTTTCCGACGGCCAGCACCAGGAACAGTACGCTCAGCGCCCACACCTGCCAACAAGACAGCACAGAACGATTCAGTATGGCATAAAACGATGGGTTACTACGGAACTTTTTTAACACTGGTCACTACGGATAAAAGTGCAGCACTGGGGCGAGCAGGACGGAGGGCTATTTGACCGCAGCGCTTTTGCGCCGTGTGTATAGATTATGACCTGTTTATTGACCAGGAGTTTTGCACCATTAATGTACACACAACCATATCCACGATCTTCCCACCAATGATTCGACCCGACTTTGCAAGCGATGGGAACATATGATAACACACTACTTCTCCCAAGCAGCTTTGTCCTACGCCAGCGCCACCTGCTCCGAGCGGTTTGTACGCGCCTCTGGCGGACATTGCACGAACCACAGCGCCAGACCCCGGTGTCTTGTCGCTTGCGCGACTTTGTTCCACACCCACCTGCCATGTGGCCTCCGGGTGAAGGCTGAGCTGGTACAGCGCGTAGGCGTTGTAGAACTCAAACACGTATCCCACGTAGAGGAACGGCAGCAGGAACGTCAGGCCCTTCCACATCCACGAGTGGAAGCCCTCGATGGTGATGTCCATGTCGCGTCGCTCGCCGAGCGCCTTGAGCCGGTACAGGCAGCCGCGCTGGTACATGAACTGCAGATACTGTACGGAGGCTGCGGGAAGGCACCGGCGGGCAGGTCAGAACAGCGACTGCATTGGATGCGACACAATTATCCGTGCCTGCAATTGGTTAGCTAAGTTGGCATAACCTTGTAAATCGAAATCCCGTCGCCCATGGTCTGAACTTATAAAGAGTTCGTTTAGGAACTTCGCTAGCTAGTTAATGTTTATTTTACGTCAGAATGGTGTCAACAAACATTACGTACACAATATTTGTCATTTAGATTGAGGCACACACAAAAGGAAAAACAGTTTAGATATGATTTATTATGACTATGAGCCATATTACGGAATTTCCGCACAATGAGTACCACTGAACCGAACACTGAATATAGACTATTTGGTGTGCCTCGCTCACAAAAAAAAAACGAACTCAGAACTTTGACGACCTCCCACGTTTGGTCGATCGCCGTCCGGAACGTACCAGAAGTGCGGATAAACACTAAACAGTAGTCAGCACTGTTTATAAAACTGGCCTCCCGGGCTCAACTCGAGCTGGACTTTGGAAACTAACGATACGATTTGGGGTCAACCGCAAAACAGCACTAAATGTTGTAGCTAGAAGCGTATGCAATTGTACGCAGAGGCAGGAGTACTTCTTTATTGAAATGTTAGTGAACGAAATTGCGGCTTTTTGCGTAAAATATTATGATCAAAATTATGATTCAGCTAAAATGCAGCTATGTTGGATGAGAAGTGTGTACATAACGTATTATATGACACAAGGTGTACAAGGGATTCACATGACACTCCTCCCAACTCACATATATAGACGTTGAATATGTTGAACTGCATCCTGAACATGTGGTAGACCTCGCCGACTGGCCAGACGAGCAGGATGCCCGAGAGGACGCAGGAGATGAAGTGGTGCGCCCGGTACCAGCCCTTGATGCGCGAGCCGTTCACCCGCAGAATCGACTCGCGGATCGTCAGGGTGCAGTAGTACCACACCAGCATGAACATGAACACCAGGTCCAGGATCCTGGAACACGGCGAGGGAGCGTCACGGCGGGGTAGCAGCACTCCGTGGGTAATGTGTAGATTTCAATGTTCAAACCCAGAAGGGCACGTCCATAAGTAGGATATGAAGCACAATGCATACTTAGAGTAAATCAAGACATCATTTTTTACCACATGAGACTAGTAAAAAAATGAGATTTTTACCAAACCAGTAAAACGCCTTTTGGGCGAAGAACGAGCGAGCGAGATGGTGAGCCCTGCAGGCTGCACGTGCGGAAGGGCCAGAGGGTACTTCCAACGGGTTTGCGCAAAGCACCCTTCTAACCGGTCGCTAGCGGTGTACCAAATTTGAACGCAATCGGCCCAGCCGTTCCTGAGATCTGGAAGCGGCATTCTGCACGTGCGCACGTGCAAACGGGGTCCAAACTGACTTTTGCACGGCACCCTACTAACCGGTCCCCAACCGTGTACCAAATTTGAGCGCAGTCGGCCCAGCCGTTCTCGAGATCTGGAAACGCCCCCTGCACGTGCGCACGTGCAGTAGCACCCTAACCGCAACACATGGGAATGCATTGCCTGGTGGGTGCCTACCTGTATGCCAAGTTTCAGCGAAATCGCCCCAGTAATTACCGAGTTACTGAAACGGGAACAAATTTGGCACCTCTTATTCTTGTATTTTGCACGTGCACTGGGGGTGACCCACATGCATCGAGAGTATCCTATTTTGGGTAGAAGGGATGCTGCTACCCTATAAAAATTACCGCAAGTCAATCGCCCAAGCGGCTGCTGAGACATGAGCCTCTCAAAATCACTACTTTTGCAAAACAGCTTGAACACCCTTGACTTTTCACGTGGCACGTGCCACGACGGTCACTGAGATGCATCAAAAGTAGTCAATTACGGGGTAGAAGGGATGGGGCTACCCAGCAAAAAAGACCGCAGGCCAATCGGTCCAGCGGTTGCTGAGATACATATAAGCCTCTCAAAAGCGTTACAGGCCGGGCCGGGCCGGGCCGCTCATACTGATATTTTTCCGTTATATTGAAAAGACTCACTTCGCTCGCTGCGCTCGCTCGCTCGTAATAATAGGCAGTATGAGTAGACATCCCCTAAAATTGTTTACCAAAATAAAAGGCAGTAGACATCTCCTAATAATTTATTCGCATGTCTACAGAAGGGTTTATGTTCTGCGTCTACTCACCTGTTTTGGAAGAACAGACTCGTCACGGCTATCGCCATTGAGATGGCGTTCAGGACCAGTTTGAACTTCTCGTACTCGTCCTTGTACTTGAACCTGTCGACGGAAAAGTCCGATAATGAGTATTTGGAAGGTAATGAAGGTTGGCACTTTTTGCAACTAGCGCTGATTGTGTGAAAACTGACGATATTTTAGTCATTCGCTCCTGTTCGCGGACAACGAAACAAATTAAATAGCGCATCCGTTACTGCATCACTGTATCAAGCCTCCAAACTCAACGACATTTCATTCCCTTCGCGTTAAGTTTATCAAATCAGTACGGTGGTCTTCGGACGTCCGTTCTCGTCCATATCACACGTTCTAGTACCGCCTAATCTCCGCGATAGTAAAACATGATCTCACGCTCTGAAGATGAGTTGCGTAACATGTCGGATCACACTACCACATATCTGAGTGGCGGTGTTGGCTGACCGGTGACTCCTCAGATTGGGCCTAGCTCGTAATCCGCACAGTACACCGGACACACACTATCTCGGTACAGTGTCACGAAGACAGCAGCACTTTTGGGGACGCTTTTTTTATCTCTTCACACTTTTTTGCCAGTGCTTCCGGTAATTCAAAACATCGTGTCGAACATAAAACGTAGCATCACATAACCACAAATGATATCTGACCTAAGCACAATTTGAGTTTACTCGTTCCTCATCCTCCCTGAGTCTGCCTTCGCCGCTTTACGGCACAATCCCAACGAAGTTAGTTTTATGTTTTATACCTAAGCAGCGTGTCAAGGTGTCACCCAAAACTCAACACACCTGTCGTTTTTGTTGAGTATGGACACGTTGACGCTGCCGAGGATGACCTTGAGGTAGACGTCGTTCTCGCGCGGCAGGAAGTTCTCCATCTGATACAGCTGCGCCTTCCGCCGGATCAGGTCCTTGCTCAGGTCCTGCGCTTTTATCTGAACCTCCGGGTCATTGGCACTGGAGCTGAACCTGTTATAAGCATGATACAGAAGGAAGTGTCAGAAACCCGCGCAGTATGCCGCCACAAAAGTTACACGACTGGGAAATGTGTAGTAACTACTAGTTGGCCAAAAATACGAATCGTCGCGAAATCCTCGAATGTGAACAAAGATAAAACTAGTCCACAAACCTTAAGATCACATCGCGTTCTTAAAAAATTAGGCAATACCAAACAAAGCTTTGCACGGAAAGTAATCGGTTGGTCACTCCGACTGGTCGATTTGTTGATGCTCACCCGGTTCACTCAATTAATCAATTTGGTCAATGATACCGTTCGGTAGCTTCTTCGACGACACTCACCGTTTTGTGGATTTGTTGATGATGCCCAGTCTGTAGCGCTGGTGGTTGATGTTCTTCAGACATTTCGCCTGTAGCTTGTTCACCTCCTGTAGCCGATCCAGGTACTCTTTGTGCACCGCCTGAGGATATAAGAATATCAGTCAACAGAGTTGATAGACCGAAATAAAGTAATCATTCAGTTAATAAATAAAAAATAAAAAATGGCAGGGACGTAAGACGTTATTCTGAATGAACCAATGCCACTATTTTAATAGCTTCACCAGAGTGTGCGCTAAAATGGAGAGATGGGTCAAGTGTTAGTCATGTATCCATGGTCATATTATGGATCAGTCACATACGAAAAAAATTCTACACGTCAAATCGAACTAGATCAGAGGTGGATCCTTAACGGGGTCAAAACATGACATTCACTCACAGTAAATTCTTCCCTCAGTGAGCCAGGGTAACTGTTGGTACTAAAATCTTGATTATGCGAAGATGCACTGCGGTTTTGCAATCGATGATAGGGAGTACGTTGGCGACTACGGACTTTGTACCGAGCTGTGCCGGAAATATGATGCATCGCCGATTCTTATATAGGATTCATTTGCTGTTGGTTTCCACCGGCCTCACGACATATACCCATTGGAAACCATTGAAGATCACTGAATCGGTAAATATGACAAAGCTCATCAAGGCATCAAGCTTTCTCTTCCGGTTCGGCTTGGAACGCTACCAAATTTTCCACATGCGCCTGCAGCACGTGCACTTACTCCGCGGCGGTCGGCACCACGCCCCCGGCGACCTTTGTCCCCGGGACCACCTGACCTTTGACCCGGCCGAGTGGGCTCGCGGGCTCCCTCCCAGTGACCCCGGGCGGTCGTTGAGCGGCAGTGACCACCCGGGGTGAGGGGCACCGGCAGATGAGACGTGGATAAGACCACCAGCGACGAAAGGAACAAAGGGCGACATGGCACGCGAACTTGTATCACTTGCAAGTGATTGCGCCGCTTGCAACCACGGAGGGAACTACGTTGAGAAAAAGATAATGTCTAGAGCGGCATTTGGTTAAGAAATGCAAAAGTCACTTTCTTGTTTCACATGGCGTAAGAAAGTACACCAATAAACTTACAATGACCGCACTGCAGCCCACATGAGGACAGCGGCCTTTGCATAAAGGTCATTTGCATTTATACTGCTAACGACCTTTGTCAATTTACATACAGATGAGACGGTCGACATCGCAACTGAAAAGAGGTAAAAGACGCCACGATACAGAGAGAGTATTCTTCCAGCCAAAAGAAAACCGTGTGCAAGTGAAACTGTACTACCACGTAACACGATTAGAGGAACCACCCGCGCACAGGAATACCGAGCATACAGGGTGTCTCAAAAGTTCGTTCACAGGTACCAGCCATGCTTTTTTGTCAATAATTCTGAATCAACAAGAAATTAACAGTCGAAATTTTGCATGGGCATTGGTGACAACCTTCCTCAAGCAGTCTCATTGTTTTCAAGTGCATTCGACCCTTCATGAGCTCACAAAAAGGGTTCACCTCTGACCATGGGTCAGGCACGAAAATGTAGGTTGCAAAGTCGGGTATGTTGTGAAACTCTCTGTTTCAGGAGTAATGGGAATGGTTAAGTCGGAAATGACACATGGCTAAGTGTCGGCGAGGATGAGTGCAACATGATGATCATCTCATAAAAACGGTGGCTAAAATTTTTGAAGGACGAAACCATGCGAGACTAACGGCGTTTTGAACGACCCTCGCACGACAGCAGACTCGTGTTCCGGAAAGCAGCTGAAAATGCGGTCATAACTATTGAAAACTGGCAAGACGGTCACAGACAGAGGTTACCCATTTTCAAAAAGTGCAGGTCATCGTAAAATAAAGACAAATTATAATTTAAAATTGTTTATTATATCTATAACGCTAATTTTTGGGGACAATAACACAAAAATCGTCAATGCCAAGGACACCTGACCCTCCAAAAGTGTCAGTTATTGTACAATTTTATCTAACGAAGTTTCAAGAGGCAGATCTGCAGCGAATAATTTTCTTTTAAACACAAAATCCCGATAAAACCACACGATGGACTGGTTTGGGCCGTTTACAAAGCAGAACATCTCCCGAGGAAAACACTCCGCAACCGAGCGAAGGTCTTGGCATGGGGAATGACGAGCGCTTGGAATTTGCAAAATTTGCACAATGTGTCTGAGAAACAGACGTCCGACACATTCTGCTACCATATGATGCGAAAAATTTACTCCTGGCACTTACCGTTTGTTCAGGACTGGGGTCGTTTTGAAAAGGAAAATGGCGCTTGGGATGTCGGCGCCAGTCATTCATGAAGGAGTTAGCGCCAGAGAATGCCTACAAAATACTCAAGAATGGTGTCGATGCAAGCTGTCGGCTTTCAGGGAAAATCAGATGTTGCCGGGGAGCTAGTCAAAACTAAATCCGACGCAGAAACTGCAGGGGATTCCCCTGCAAGAGCTTGAAAGCTGGTAACCTTTTATCAGCCTCCGGCAGCTGACGGAGCAACAAAAATCGGTATGAGCAAATATTTTTGGAGATACAGCAAAGGGGTTGGTTTCCAACCTTCTTAATCAGTTGTCAAAGCATGCATATTTGTCTGGTGTACACACAGACACCAAAACCTTATACTTTTGGCCGGTTCTTATATGCTTTATTGGCATGGGAAATGTGTGAACGAACTTTTGAGACACCCTGTAGATTGCGCGAAGTTATTTTACCGTATCCGAGCGGCGAGCCGCATAATTGTACTCTCAATTCGTACGTTCGAACAGCTCGTGTGTAGTTTGCATGGTTGAAAATAAAATAGAAATAGCAAAATAGAAACACGATTTGAGCCCGCCCAAAACGCAGCTTTGTTGACTAACGAATTCCTTAGGGATACAAATGTACAAAACAGTTGCCAGTATCGCCCCAAATCTGGCTCGATCAAAACTAATTTCACGACTTTCAAACAAATTTCATGAGCTTATTGCTTTACGTGTCAGTTCGTCTCGGTCAGTGCAAACGTAGCGCCCCGAAAAGCGAAGTAACCGTAAAAATATATCGGGCAGTCCAACAGTAACATCTCTTGAACCTCCGACCAGTGACCACCTTTGCGTCTGACATCCCTTCTATGGGTTCTATCCCAGTCTCTAGCCACCAAGTGCTTTGTATTTCTCTGTGAGCGAGTCCCACCGTCCCCATCCGCCCGTGTCTCACCCCTAGCGGCTTGCATTCCTCAGTCTCATTCTGACTATCAAGTCCCCATCATCTCTTGTCTTTCCTCTAGCGCCCTGTATCTATTCCTCGGTAAGCGAGTCCCGCTATCCAGTTCCCAATCTCAACCACCCGCGTCTTACCCAGAGTATATAAAAACGACGGCTTACCTCTAGCGCCTCGACTACTCGAACAGCGAGTCCCTGTAATGACCCCAGTCTCACCTCTAGCGCCTTGTACTCCTCGGTGAGCGAGTCCCACTCCTCCAGACACTCCTCCACGGTGCCGTGCTCCATGGCGGCAACCCGTCCGTCACCTGTGGCAGCACAGCCAGTCAGTGGAGACCCGAGTATCACGAGACGTACACACGCACACTGCGCGTGTCACAGAAAACGCCGACACCTAAAGAGCAGTAGCACAGTGCACATATGGTTCAGGTGTCTCTTCGCGCCCGGGTACACACACAGATTACCGGCGATGACTCTGGTCCGTTGGTGGTGGTTGCCGATCTGATAGGTGTCGCTGACGTCACCGGGCATCTCCCACGCACCTCAGCGGGACGGACCGACGGGTCGGCGGTGAGCGACGGCCGGCAGCGCGTGCTACGGCAGCGCTCTGATACCACCAGTCGCCGGATCAGACGGCCGGCGGCTGATCGTCCACCGTAAACACCCGCCTCACGCCATGGTGACAGCGGCCAGCCGCCGGGCGCCGGGGCTCCGCGTGACCCAGTCCCAGACACGGGCCGCACCAGGGGTGGAGCACGGAGGTGTCGGCCCAAAGTGCCCCAAATGGTGCCAATAGCGGTGTGATGGCAGGATCACTAGTGCCATTCCTTTGGTAATCAATTACCAGATAACATGTTAACAGTTAACCTGATAATTTGTTGGTTAAACTGGGCAAGCATTGTGTTTCATGAACACATGGTTGAAACAACACAAAAAACCTATCAGAAATATTATAATATTATCTAATCTTTAGCATCAAAAATGACATTAAAAACACTTTTAACAGTGATATTGGTATTGAATCTTAAAAAACAACTAGAAGAAAAACAATAACATTTTATCTGACACTATCTAAAAAAAATGTTATTTGCCATTTAAGTGAAATAAGCTGTTTTGGGCACTAAACAATTTATAGGTACATTTAATTTGAAGATATAAGCCTACTTTGGCATAATTCAAATTGTAATTGTAATGTTCCACAGTTTCAGTTTACATTTTTAAGATGCAAGCAAAATGATAAAACAAATGAGCAACATCTCATGCAAAACAATAATTTAGAAAGCAACATAACATAAAAATCAGAGATTTTTTATATAAAGGTATTGATGAAATTTAAGATCTCATCTGAAAGAAAAATAGGTTAAAACAAAGGAAATTACGCGCATAGGAAGCCCAATAGCTCCACCACCCGGGGGCGGTGGGGGAGGGGATCTGGACATTTCAAATAATTTACATTATGTAATGACACCCTGTTTTGATCTATATACACATCCAATGCATAAAGTGACACGTATTTCGATTTGGATCTGACCTAACATACTGAGAATTGGCGCAAAGCCCCTGCCAAAATCAGCAATGAGATAGTCAATAAAGAATGCCTCAATCAAGAATCGACTCAAGATAGCAGTAGACTTATATTCTGGATATCAATCTGAAGCACATTATTATATGTTCCATCACCTTACCTTACGGATCAAGAGCCGACTTCAACTCTCAATGCATTTCATGTTTATGCCAAGTTCATGCATTGTTATCTGCTAGTAGACGATAAGCGGCGCAAATTGAAGACAACTCTGTAAAAAAAAGAGGTCTTTAGAGATGACATCACAAAACCGTCCCTGCATTCTTAGCCAAATTTGGACCGTTTGTAAATATCTTACTTCTGCAATAAATTTATTGATATGTTAAGCAACAGTGTTCATACTCATTTCTGTAAAGGAAGCAAAAGTATTATTTTCAAGTCGTACAAAGCTAATTTTCCAGAAAACAACTTTATTTTTCGTCAGAGTTTTTGTGACGTAATCTTTTCCAATTTCAAATAAAGACGAGTCATATAATAAACAAACACTTTTTCGACACGCAATTCACACGCAATTTGTGCGCGAATTTTGTGGGCTTGTGTAGGTAGGTCATAGTTAATGTATTTTTCATGCATTTTTGTATACCGCGAGTGATGACATGTGTATTTATATACACTGTGCTCATTTCGGAATGTGTCTGGGTTGGTGGCAGGATTGTATAAGAAATTTTTGGGGCACATTGGGTGTAATTTAATATTGCTCTGAAGTCTGAATTCAGCACATGGCTGCCACTGAATTTTTCAGTGTATGTTGACTGCCATTTTTTTTCACACTGGCCAACCTAGCAACAGATTGATGTTCCTGAATATGCTGCTGGCAGTCAGACATTCTGTCAGCCCAAATAGGCTGCTGTAGCAGTGGATTTGCCAAATATCTACCAGTAGTAGATTCTGAAACTTGCCAGCCCCAAACATGTTGCTACCGGCAGCGGATTCGTCTAATGTCAATGTCTGTGCACCTGCACCAGGCAGATCTGGGCAGATACTGTAAGCACTTAATGGCGCCATGTCTACCGCAGCAGATTAAAGATTTGGTAGGTACCTATTCTCTTAGCCAGGCCAGGGCTGCGGAGTCGGAGTCGGTCGGAGTCGACAGTTGTGACCGGAGTCGGAGTCGATTTTAGAAACCCGGGCCGGAGTCGGACTCGGAGTCACCGAAAATCTGTCGACTCCACAGCCCTGCTAGGTCGTCGGAGTTGGGAGTTGGAATCGGTCGAAGTCGACAATTCTGCCCGGAGTCGGAGCTGGTTTTTGAAAACCGGATTCGGAGTCGGAGTCGGAGTCTCCGAAAATCCATCGACTCTGCAGTCCTACTCTTAGCAGACGTCACCCGAGTACCGCAGATTCTGGCCGATGCAGTTGAAGTTAATGGAGCAGGGGAGACGTGCTGCTCATGCTTATGGTACCTACAACCCCCGGAGGGTGGGGGTGGTGAAGCCAGTGCCCAGTTCTACTGTGATGTTTGGTTGATTGTTGTCTGTTGAGTTGAGTAGCAGATTGAAAGATGAAGAAAGCGCCATCACCATGGAAAATTTGTTGTCTATTGATGAATGATAAGCAAGTTGTATTTTAAGGAAATATTCAAGAACAAGAACAAACTGAAGCATGAGAGAGGAGAGGGAGAGCAGTACCAGTAACTCCATTAAAAAAGACGTGCAATACTCGGAATTACTTCATTTACGACGCTCCACCGGGATGTCTAACCCTCAGACATGTCCGTGCAGCGCCGCCCATGGGAGAGGGTCATAGTCTCTGGTGACGTCCCGTAATGTTAGCTTTTTACGGCTAAAACCCTGGGATGGCATTACCTTCTCTATACAGCCTTGTCCGTTACCATGGCCACCGAGTGGCGGGTGGCCCCAGATCGCGAGACACCCGGAACACATCGTTCCATCGATTCTAGTGACCCCGATACTTTCGGCCCTTAACGCTCGGTCTGCTTTATATGGCCTTCGTCAGCAGGTGTGCACATGTGCGTTATGTTAAAGTGCATTAATTTTGGCGCAAATCAGCATCCAACTTTCGGAGCAGTTCATGCTGAAATTTTAGTGCAAAATCGCTCAGGCCGATTTTCGGCGCATTAGGGTCTCACGGGCGTCCGGCGTAGGGATCTGTCAGTGCCTATCCAGTATCCATTCCATTATTTATATTTCATTTTATTTCAGCTGCTCTTTGGAGGTGGTGAGCTGAGCCATTCCAAAAAGGAAGTTGACAACTAGATACCAACTGAAAGTCGCTTGATGAAGATGCTGGACAACCTTCGTTTGGAGACGCTTGTTGGACTGGGAGCTGCGTCACTTTTAGGCTATGTTCTTTGGGGTCCAAAAACTACCAAACCGAGGGCGGCGAATGCAGCAGGCAAGTTAACATGAAGTAAATGTGTGATATGTGTTGTGTGGTGAGGCAGGCTGATTCCATTAACGACCATAGTGTGCTCTAAGTAAATAGTATATACTTATACAGGTAACTTCAAACAGCCAGTTCCAGTCTTTGCATGGCTCAAAAAGAAATCAAATGTTTTTGAATTCCCTGGATAAGTATGTTCTTGTTCCTTTGGCAGGAGCTTTGGCCGGCCTGCAGAACATCGGGAACTCCTGCTTCCTGAATGCAGTGCTGCAGGCTCTGGCCTCCAGCCCGGCGGTCATCAAGTGGCTGAGCAGCCCGCCCTCGGCCACGGCCTCGCAGGCCCACCGGCAGCTGCGGGCCGCGCTGATCGACGTCATACAAGGTACGTCGCAAATTTATATCTCAATTTATAGTCGAATGGGCTCTGACATGATCACGATGATTGCTCTGCTAGTGCCAGACGACGCCACTGACTTAGAGAGATTAAATACGTATGTAATACGAAATGAGTCCCAACTATTTGTGTTCCTTCTGCTCGGCACCTAACATTTGACAACACTAAATTTGTTTGATATTTCAAGATCGTCTGATGAAGGCTAACATGGACGATCTCACTTAATTCGGTAGTTTTCTTCATTGATGGGCAACTTGTTTTTGTTAAATGTCGCAAGTTCCGTTGAGTCAGCACCGCATTTGTAACAAGTGGGAAGTGGTAACGAACGACACTGTCGTCAGTGGCTTGTGTTCCCTTACACTTGGAGGAAGCATGATTGTATTGGATTCATCCAAAGCAGCAAACGGTACAATTTATAATGAAATCGTCGTAAAAAGGAAATAACTATTAGGTGCTGGCTTGGCAGCCCTAGACAGGCCATCTGCTTATTCGGTATTGATTCCGCCATAACTTGATCAAACATCTTGCAATCGGTATCGAAATATAGCCATTGAGTATTACAGAGTGGACACTTGTTACAAGTTATTTCGACATCACTTATCGACTTTGAAGTGACACTCACATTACACAAATAAAGGCCAATCCTAGCACGGAATTGCTGGCGAGTGCAGATTGTGGGGGGGGGGGGGGGTGAACGAAGCTCAGGGGCCGCACTCGAGTTTGATAGCGCTACTTCCCTACTGCGCCCCTGGGTGCTTTGACGTTTTACCGTGATGAAATCTACATCCCGATGCAAGTGTCAGTGGGTAGTTTTTATCCCAGGGGTCAGTCTTGGCGTGACTTTTTCACCCGCGCTGTCCCCTGAGACTCTTGTCACAATGTATGCAATGCACTACGATTACCTTGCGGGAGCAACTGACTGCCGAGTGACATGCCTACGCGTGATGAATTATTATGTTGTTCTAAGTGATTAAAGTCAAGATGCTTGAACATGATTGATTTGGGAATTGATAGCCGTCGATAGGGTACCTATTTTGTTTTGAATGATAAAATCGCTGATTTGTCCATGCCGATTAAAATTGAACATCCGTTTCTGGTCAACGGTTGCATATGGTACGTCGGTATGCATACCAGTGAACGTCGCCCATGAGTGTGCAGAGTATTCAATCATGCGGTGCTCGTCCACCAGCATTGGCCCTGCGTCCCACGTCACTGTTGCTGGCCGTCCCCATGCCTTTCTGGGCTATAGTTGACTTTCCCCCGTCAACGACAGCTTCTGCTGGGTAATATCACTGTCTCTACCCACCGCTAGCTCATCTCCCCCCCCCCCCCCCCTGTCGCCAGTGGTAAACCGCACGCACCCGGAGCAGCGAGCCGATCCCTTCACTCCGGCCGGCGTGGTCA